TTCAGTTCTTCAAAAATAATTCATAACTGCCTTCCTCCTGTGTTGTTGTCAAAATGTCATGTTGTCACACTTTTTCAGAGAAGTTAATTAACCGAGTGACACATGATGACGTAGTGACACCTTCAGTTCTTCAAAAATAATTCATAACTGCCTTCCCCTGCTGTGTTGTCAAAATGTCATGTTGTCTCATTTTTTCAGAGAAGTTCATTAACCTGGTAGCACATGGTAACATGGTAGCACCTTCAGTTCTTCAAAAATAATTCATAACTGCCTTCCTCCTGTGTTGTTGTCAAAATGTCATGTTGTCTCATTTTTTCAGAGAAGTTCATTAACCTGGTAGCACATGATGACATAGTGACACCTTCAGTTCTTCAAAAATAATTCATAACTGCCTTCCTCCTGTGTTGTTGTCAAACATGAACGTAAACATTATTTTTGGTTCATTTACACTCATTACGATGAAATCTTGACAAATCATTTACGATAAAATCATGACAAAACATATACGATGAAATCACGACAAAACATATACGTTTAGTTTCGATGAAATCATCATGACAAAGCATATACGATGAAGTCATGACAAAACATTTACGATGAAATCATGACAAAACATATACGTTCATGTTTGACAAAACATATACGAAGAAGTCTATGAATATAATAATATTTCAAACCAGGAGCCAAATTCTTGCGATTTTCATATGGAATCTCTTCCCTCGGTTTTTCGAGGTAAGCAATTATATGAAATCATTTACACTCATTACAATGAAGTCATGACAAAACATATACGAAGAAGTTTTGACAAAACATATACGAAGAAGTTTTGACAAAACATATACGAAGAAGTCTTGACAAAACATTTACGATGAAATCTTGACAAAACATTTACGATGAAGTCATGACAAAACATTTACGAAGAAGTCTTGACAAAACATATACGATGAAGTCATGACAAAACATTTACGTTTAAGTTCCATGAGGTCATAACAAATCATTTACGATGAAGTCATGACAAAGCATATACGTTCATTACGATGAAATCTTGACAAAGCATATACATTCATGTTTGACAAAACATATACGAAGAAGTCATGACAAAACTGTTGCATGCTAAGATCAGTCATAATGTAAACCTCTCAATTTTATTGTCGTGGGAAGTATCTCAATTCCTTCAAAAAAATTGAAAAACTATTTAATTTTAAAAATATAATACTTTTAATTAGTTAATTAATTGGAGATATTTTTAAAAAATCACTTTTGATAATACTTTTGAGAACTTTAATTAAAAAAATATATTCCAAAATATCCAGGATATCAAGAGGGAATTGTTCCTTATGAGGTATATAGTTATGATGTATACCTCATAAGGAACAATTCCCTCCTTAAAATCGTAGACATTTTTATACTTATTAATCAACCATTCAAAATCATATTCCTCTGAAAAGTTATTTTATTAAAAATTTAGAATTTTAATAAATATAGAGTTTGAATTTCATACAATACTATATATTTTCAATAATGGAATTTGAAAACCATTCTCAAAAGTTCTCAGAAAACCTTTTTTTCATTAATTTTAAGAAATCTGAGTATTAAATTAAGTGATAAATTCGTTTGACACTACTTTAATTTTTAAATTCAAAAATTATATGTGCTTCTTAAAATGACTCAAAAAAATTTTATTATAAAATAATATATAATATTAAAAATCCCACAACATTTTTTACTTTACATAATCGTACTTCCTCGACGATTAATTTCCACTCAATTTCTATCGTTGACCGAACTTAGCATGCAACAAAACATATACGATGAAGTCATGACAAAACATATACGATGAAGTCATGACAAAACATATACGATGAAGTCATGACAAAACATATACGATGAAATCATGACAAAACATATACGATGAAGTCATGACAAAACATTTACACTCATTACGATGAAGAAATCATGGCAAAGCATATACGAAGAAGTCATGACAAAACATATACGAAGAAGTCATGACAAAACATATACGAAGAAGTCATGACAAAACATTTATGTTATACAGTAATGTTAGTCATGAATGTTTGTCCTACGTGTTGGCGTTAGTGTTGAAAAATAATGTTTGTCCTACATGAAGCCGTACAAGCGTTTGAATTTGTTTATGCATAAGATTACTCTCTTGTTTTCTGTATCTATCATACAAACATAAGCAGCACCTGTTTTTGTAAAGTTTATATGAAGTTTTCGATAGTTAAGACCTGTATAATAATAGAATGCGTCCTCATTCTCAACATAGTAGTAGAACTCAAACGAATGCTTACCATAATCTGTTATTTCAACAGCTTCGTCAGATATTTCATCAACGAACTCATAAACTATATCGCCATACTTGCTTTTATTTCTATTGTTTTCAGATCTAGAACACCAACGAAGGTTTGAGATTCTGTTGTCCGTTCTATCATGATTTATATGGTCTATTTCTTTCAAATTGTTTGGATTTTCAATCCACTGTTCTGCAATAATTCTATGCTTTAAATGCGTTTTGTTGTTTAAACTAAGCTCAATATAACCATGATTATTTAAGCATTCACTCTTAATATGTTTGTTTTTCTTTCGACGAATAGTAAAAGGATATGTCGTACAAATCTCATAATCTTCATGATTTCTCAATGTTTCCCATTGAGTTTGTTCCCCACTAACGTTCTCATTGACGTCCTCAATATCTTCTTCCTCACTGAACTCGTCAATATTTTCACTAGCTCCTTCTGTAATGTTTTCATCGGCATTGTCATTGACTTCTTCTGTAATGTTAGATGTTGTTGTTTCGCTCATGTTCTTTCACTAATGTTAAAAGTTATGTTGTACGAATTTTGAACAGAATTTAGAGCAGTTATGAAACAATGAAGTACTTTTACGCTATTGAAAGGAACTATGAGAGTGAAGTACATGACAGCAATGACAAAAGGAACTAATATCAAACCTAATGAAATCGCTCACGAGGACATAGAGCTTAACAAGTACTTTGTGGAGTATCTTATAAGTGAAGAGTATGTAAGACCTTACTTCATGTTTGACAGCATGAATGAGGATGTTATTTCATGGTTAAAGAATATAAGCAATGTTTTCGGTAAGTACGTCATAGATGACAAAGGTCTTGTTGTATTTTATGAGACAGCAATACGAACACAGGAACTAATGGATATTATGCACTCAACAGCAAAGAAAGGATTTAGTACTATTGGCATGAATGAACATTGCAGGAATGACATATACAACCTATGCTCACGAAAGCCTTACACAAAAGCAATACAAATGATAGAACATAAGTGTCTAAGGTCAGCAAATGAAATCATTACTGTCAGTGGTTATGAAAGAACTGTTAGCAAAGATGAGTGGAAACAGCTATTCATATTAAGGAAGGACGTTGCTGAACTAGTTAAACCTGTTGCACGAACATTGTTTCAGATAAGACCAGCAATGACTAAGAACCCTTTGACCTTAGTCAATGAGACCATAGAGGTTGAAGATAATGACATGAAAGAACTAGGAATGAATGAGAGAAGTTGTGAAGGATGTTTGAGTCAAAACACATGGTTCTTCAGAGCTGTTAAGAAACTTAGTAAAGAACGACAGAAATATTTTATAGAGAAGTATTGCAAAGGATGTGTAAATGAATTGTTTGAAATAGAACTTAGAGACACTTTCACACTAAAGGACTTGAGAAGAAATAAGTACATGAGTGAAGAAGGTATTGACATAGCTAGTGTTATAAATGACTTAAGAAGATGTGTTGTTGTTATTGACGGAGCACGTATGACATATCTAGTGAAAGATTATGATGGAATACGAGACACAACAACACTTGTGTCAGTAGATAGCAAGGAATTCAATAAGCTCATGAAGAGTATTTATGTAGGACGTATTGAAGAAAGGATGTGAACGCACTGATGATTTATGAAGCGGGTCAGAACAAGAACTATCTTATGAAGTCAGGCATGAGATTCTTTGACGAAAGAGATGACATTTACAGCTATTTCAGAGGATATGAGTATGAAGTACTGAATGAAGTAGATGAAAGCGTTATTGAAGGATATTTGAAACATGTTCACGATGTCATATGTAATGAGGATGAAGAGCTTTATGAGTATGTTTTGAACTGGTTCGCCTACATCGTTCAAAATCCTTGTGGAAAGACTGGAACAGTACTTTTGTTAATAGGAAAGCAAGGAACTGGTAAGAATGTACTTAGTAATGTTCTATGCGAGCTCATTAGCAAGTACGCCAACAATAATATAACGGCAATAGAGAATGTGGTTGGTAGATTCAATGCTGCTATTGAGAACATGAAGCTCATCGTATGCAATGAACTAAGCTCATGCGATACGTCTAAGGTCATGAACCACGACGCACTAAAGTCAATAGTAACAGAGACTCAGTTGGACTTAAATCAGAAGTGTCAGCCAGTAAGAAAGATAGAGAATGTTTGTAATATCATCATGATATCTAACAACTTCAACTCAGTAAAGATTGACAAAGACGACAGAAGATTTGTTGTCATTGACGTAAGCAGCAGATACAAAGGAAATTACGAATATTTCTCAAATCTCATTGAAAGCTTTAATGAAGAGTTTTATTCAAACTTACTGACGTACTTCATGAAGAAAGATTTAAGTGAATTTGATGTAAGGAAGATACCATTCACCAGGGCTAAACAAGAACTCATCGAAATGAACAAAACACCTTACCAAGTGTTTTACGAGGAGTTCTATGAAAAGTTTGTATCCGGATGGAATTGTACAGAGTGCTACAGAAGATATAAAGAATTTGCGAAGGAGAATGAATTCTTTGCATGTAGTTCAAATGTATTTGGTGGCAAGATGAGAGAATTTGTGAAGAGAAGTAGAAAGCGAGACGGTTCTGCAAGAAGTTATATTTATGAAGCAAGTATGATATTAGAAGGTCGTGGAAAGAAAGAAACAGTGAATTATGAGGAAGTGCTTGAAAAATTCATGGAGTACATGGGAAGCAATATAACATACAACAAAGACATATACAGTGAGTTTAAGTACTACTGTGAACAGCATGAGATTGAAGTAATGAGTAAAGGAGACTTTGAAACGCTTATGAAAGACAGTGAGGAGGTCGTTCATGAGAACAGTGATGAAATAGTTCATGAGAACAGTGAGGAGGTCATACATGAGAACAGTGATGAAATAGTTCATGAGAACAGTGAGGAGGTCATACATGAGAACAGTGATGAAATAGTTCATGAGAACAGTGAGGAGGTCATACATGAGAACAGTGATGAAATAGTTCATGATGTCGTTCGTGAAGAAGCCATTGCAACAAAGAATGAGATAAAGGATTTCATAGAACTTAACAAGGAGGAGTTTAAAGAAGGCTATGAAGTGAAAAGATGTGAAGAAGATTTCTTGGCGTATTTGAAGAAAAAGAGACTAAAGCCGATGGCTCAAAATAAGTTTCAATCGATGTTTGAAAAGAAACGTTTGAGCTATGGTGGTGTAAGAAGCACATATTACTTTGTTAAGAAGTGAGGACATTTATTTTTGTCGTTAGTGTTGGAGTTTGTACTTGTTGTTAGTGAGAGAATAAATTAAATCATGAACTTTGCCATGGTCTCTGTCCCTAGTAGTTTTCATTAAGTTCTGGAAATAATGAAAGTCATAAACTTTGCCATGGTCTCTGTCCCTAGTAGTTTTCATTATCTCACAGAGTTAATGAAAGTCATACTTTCTATCAGATGAAGCATGCAGATGAACATAATGAAAGTTAGTGAGTTTGCCACGAGTTATGAATAAAATATTGGCATATTAGATGAGATAGCTGATGAAACAGATGAAGATAAATTAAATCTTAGACTTTGCCACACTCTGTCCCTAGTTCCTCAAAATCCTTGACAACGTTGCTTAGAAATTTTGGTTCAAAACCTCATCTGATTTTAATCTGTTATGCTACCTGTTAAGTTTCGCGAGATTATAAATGTCATGGAGTTATATAAAAAGGAGGGACAGCTAGGGACACTGGAAGTACTTGTAAGGCTATCTGTTAAGATTGCATGAAATACTAAAAAGTCATGAAATCCATTATCGCTGTGCTAGCTTCACCTTAGAGTAAAATGACGACTAAAGTCACTGAAGCAATGAAACAAAAGTTCTTGGTAGAATACATTAAATCAGGAGCGGTTCCAGAAGGTTTTTACATTCATACTATGAAGGATGGTAGAGTTCAGTTTAGAAAGATAAAGCAACCATTAGATAAAGAAGGAATTTTGAGAAAGATTAAACTTCATGAGGACAACATTGCTGAACTTAGGAAGAAGCTAGAAGAGTTGGAGAAAGCAGACGACAGTGAGGAATAAAGCAATGAATTCAACAGGGTGAAAAAGAGGTGAAAAAACAGGTGAGATCTCACCACTTCACCTAAGTTTATTTTTGTGCTATGTTTTCATACGTGTGAGGGTGGTGATATCATTAATTTTTAAGTTTATTTTTTATTTTATTTTTATATAAATGACGAAAACTATTGAGATAACAAACTACAACGGTCATGAGTTCAAGAATTTGTTCTTCGTTCCTCGTGAAAATACATTCTATCAGATACGAGGGAGAAAGGGTAAAGTTAGTTTGAGCGTTTATGACTACAAGCATAATGGAAAGTTTATACAAGCATATGATACAAACGGTAAGCGTGTTTCATTAGCTTTGTCAAAACTTACAGGTATAAACTATGACAGTGATTTTGACCTATATGAAGAAGAAAGTGAGTCAGAAGATTATGAGCTGTTATATGAAGCACAGCAATGGGAGGAGTTGCAATACTTTTGTAAGTGAGAACGTTTATTTTTTTACATTAGTGAAGTGGTTTGTGAAAACGTTAGTGAGGTGAAGTGGTTGGCGGCTTTGTAAATATTTAAGGTTAAGTTAGTGTTGTCGTTTGTGTTGTAAAATATACGTTAACGGTTTCGTAAAGTGTCAAATTCACATATCATGGGTAAGGAGGCGCGCAGTGCCGCCGTACCCTTGATATGTATACTAACTCCAATTCGCTGTCAGATTTTAATTTTTTCGGACTTTTTGGCATCTTTCCTAATAAAATATTTGAGAAAAAACTTGAAATTATATCATTGATCTTGTTTACTTCCTGAGTAAGGCTTGGATCAGTTTTGATCAGATTCTGGTAACATTGAATTGCAATTAACATCAAACCATTATTTGTTGAAAAGTGAAGCTGTGCATTACTCCTGTAATATTTACAAATCCCCAAATGATTAAACCTTCAGAATTAAATTCTGCGTAATGACATATTAATGAGAAAAAATCTATTATGGTGCGTGGACATTTTATTGGAGTACCTTTTTTAGAAGATATTGAATTATTATAATGTTTCAATACTTCTTTACATTGCATAAATGGAAAATAATTCAAGTATTCGATCAACTCTGGACCTGTAAATTTCATCATAACTTCACAAATTAATATTGATGATAAAAGTTCAATCAAAGATGCTCTCAAAAATTTCAGAATATGTTCGGAAGCATCGTGCTGAAAAGGATATCAAAAAACGAAGAGATGTATTAAGATACGAAAAATCAAACAAAGTATATCAAGAACCTGATGCATAAGAAATAACTCTCGAAAGATTTTGAATATTTTTCTCAACATATGGCCACCAACGCGATATTTTGCCATTTGCTTGAAGATTTCCAAGTTTGATCCAAATATGCCTTATATTTTTATCACTCAAGTAAGCATGAAACACAGATTTTCCGTGCCTTTATCGGTGCAAATGGCAAACGGCTTGCCTTGAATTGTAGCTAATGCACATTTTAGAACTGATTAAAAAGTTGAAAATCAATTATATTTCTAGACCCGTCGTTAATAATGACAAACAAATAATCTCCAATTTTTCATTGCTCTACCAGAAAGTTGCATAATTTTTTTTTAAAAAAATAAAACTTATTGTTTAAAATTTAAAACATATAAGCAAACTTAAAGAGTACTCATCTATGAAAAATATGAATAAAATTCAAACTTCAATAATCATTTGGTTCAGATAGAATAATTGTTGAAATGTACTTCGGAGTGATTTCCTTCAATTGCCTCCAGTTACAACAGCAAATACATTTCCACCAATTCAACACTTGATAACAGCACGTTCATGGAAGAACAAAGTCTATTGTTATATCCTTTGGATTTCAATGCGCTGATCAGATATTGATTGGTTCAGTTTCCTAACAAAAGTTGCCTGCGGTGAACAAATTTCAGAAAAGTGGACTGATCTGAAATGATTTGTTACAAGATATAAAAGGATGCCATCGACTTCTATCTAACAGATTTTTTCTAAAATCAAAGATGATAATGAAGAAATTGAAAAAATTCTCCTTTATAGACTTTGGATTTGTCCAACAAGTCATCATGTTGACATGACAAATAACTTGTTCCACATAGTTAGAACTAAAGTTTTAGATCTTTCGTAGATTTTCCAACCAATATCTGTTATCACAGATATTGACAAAAAAGTGATATCAGAACTTTTTCATTTCAACAGCGTTTCGTTTCTCATCAAATTGGTACTTCCCCGAAATACCTGGTCCGATTCTTAATTTTCGAATAACCAAACTGTTACATTGATGAGAAGCATAAAAACTCAAAAAGGATATTCCAAGAACAGAAGATGTTTGGATGCAAAGTTTATATGATTAAGACAGGTTTACATCGCAGAAAAAAAGTTTACGTGTCAGATTTGAAAACAGCTTTTTGACTGAGAACAATGATCTGCAAGGTACATGGATAGAATCAGTACCTCGCAAACTATAGTTCTCTATATGGCGCCGAAAGTTTTTGGTGAAATGTCGTTGCATTTCACGAAAATTTTTTCGGCGCCATAGGATGAATTGGAGGGTGTGAGATACTATTACGTATAATAGTACTCACACTCTCCAATTACCAATCATAAAATCTTTTTTTTATTTTTAATCAATTTATTTTTGATTTCTAGCCATTTTGGTTTTAAAAAATATAACTATATTAATAATATTATATATATCATATTTATTAAATTTTTTACAAAATACTCAAACATTGAAAAGTGTCAAAAGTGACCTCAACCCCCTTTTATGCATTATATTTATAGTAAAAAAGTATGAAAAAGTTTGTAATAAATTATGTGTTTATTCGTAAGTCTTATTTGGGTCGAAAATATGGATGTGGGATTGTTATTAGTGACACCATCTTCAGCGTTAATTAAAAATATTGGCACTTTTACAAAATAACGTGTATTGTGCGGGGTCATTGGAGACAGGCCAGTGACCACGCACAATATATACTGTACTTATACCCAAATTTAACTATGGAAATTTTCTTATTTATAGCGAATTTCAAAATAAAATGTAAATATTTGGTTTTGAAATTTGGTTTCCTGTAGTAAAGGTATCAAAATGTATAATTTATTAATTTACTCCAGTAAAAAGAAAAACAAATATTGACTTTAAATTCAAAAAAGTGTTCCGTAACAAAAATGAATTTTACAAAAAGTGACAAAAGACGATGCTTTTGTAAACTATTTTTATTATTAAATCTTAAATATATAAATATCATTGTTTATAAAAATAGATGACAAGTTTATTATAAATGACTTTTCACTAAGAAAATTAAGCGCAGAAAGAAAAAGAAAGCTCGGTCGCAATTGCATCTGATTTCAACCAAGTTCTCGAACTTTCTCAGAGGAATTGAGGAGTGTGATGTTTATAGTATGCAAATATCTGTCTCACTCTTCCATTCTTTTAAAGTAAAAAAATTGTTCAATTATAAAAATCATATTTCATATGCAAGTAATTTATAATTTATGCAAGTTATTATTTTTATATAATAGGGAAAACCGCAACCACTTTTTTAATCACGATTTAAATATATAAATCGCGATTTTTTAGAAAAATCGCGACTTTTTTAAAATCGCGTTTTTTAATGAATTGCGATTTTATTGTGGTCGCGATTTTTCAAAAAAATCGCGATTTATATGGAAAATCGCGTTATTGGTTCAATCTAAAGATCATTATTTAAAAAGTGAACTAAAATATAAATATAAAAATTATCTCATACCGAAATGGCTCACCAAAAAGGTGACATTTTTGGCGCCAATAATTTGATTTTTCTGATTCTTTCTATTTAGATATATTTATTTAATATTCATATTCCTTTATATTGCCTCATATTATTTCCCATTTTTAATCATATTATACAAATCTTTAATAATTTTTAATGTTTTGAGCTGAAACAATAAGAATTACCGAAAAAGTGACAAAACATCAAAAACAGGGAGGGGGTCTCAATTTTTATTACTTATATTATCTTACAATATTTATATAAATACTCTTTATAATATATTTTACTATAAAATTATACCTCAAATTCAAATATTTAAAATATTATTTACATAATTATCTCAAAATTATATTTTTATATATTATTTTTCATATGTATAAATCATATAATCTATATCTATGCAAATCTCATCTAATTTTTTTTGAAACAAACCGCTACCATTTTATAATGGTCCATCTTAAATTCATCATAAATTCTGGTACATGTTAGTACCAGAGTCTTCAAATCTCAAACACTCTGGTACCAACATGTACCAGACGCGAGTTTCCAATGCCCTCGTACGATTTTCTATTAAGATCTTCTTGAATGAGAAGGTCTTCATAGAAACTCGTACGAGGGCTTCTCTTTTAAATACTCTGGTACCTGCTGGTATCGGAGTCGACTTTACAGCCCTTTCCACAATTTTAAAGCTGGGGAAAGTTTTCAAGCAATGAAAGGGAAGCTCTCGCTATGAGGTGAAAATCTAGAATTTTTACCTCATAGCGAGTAATCCTTTGTTAATTGCTTGAAAACTTTCTTCAAATTATCAAAATTTCGAGGAAAGTTTCCTTGCTTCAAAGTAGAGATGGAGCCCTTTGAGCCACTGCATATAGGTCAGTGACTCAAAATACTCCATCTCTACTAGAAATCGCCAAAATTTGGGTCGCAATCTTTGAAATGCGACGCAAGTTTTGGCAATTTCGCGAGGGACTTGCTCCATTTGGTGCATAGATTCACACTCTATGCACCAGATGGAACAATTCTTTCGCTGACAGCGGGAAACTTTGTCTGAATAGTTTAACATTCAGACAAAGTTTCCCGCTGTCAGAGAGGGAATGGAAGGGTAAGAGGTATATATTCATAATGTATACCTCTTACCTTTATTCCCTCAAGAAAGTTCAAAAACTTGGGTGCAATCAGAACTGATTGCACCCAAGTTTTTGAATTTTATAAGGAATTGTTGGCTATGATGTACTGATCATGAATCAGTACATCATAGCCAACAATTCTACCTTTTAACCAAAGATAATTGATTCGTATGTAAAATATTAAGCTAAAATTTCTCTTTCTTTTAGTACACATTCTTCCATTTCGTGTACATGTATCATATATTAAGTACTAGTTATCTATTCTATATCCTTTATCCCAATTTAGATACTCAAAGATAATTCTTTTTCAGAAGAAAAAAAATATTTTCTATTAAACCGTTATTTTTTCAATGTGAGTTTTCAATTTTATTTTTCCTTTTTGCTGCTCAATGCAACATCCTCCACCCGATCCTCCATGCGAGGTTGATCAAGCCATAGGATATTTAGAATATTCTCGTTTTGTTATAGCTGCAGAGCTGCATGGTAACATAAGATTTGTCAAAGACCCACAAAAACTATCAATTGGAACAGGAGTATTAATCTACCACCGATGCGAATACGAAGGCTGCCCAGCAGGCTTTAAATTTATTAAAAATTTCGACAATTACATTTTTAAATCTGCAAACTTAACTCATATTCACTCAGGACCACCACCACAACATAAAAATACACCTACAAGTGGTACTTACCGTGCTTGGATTAAAAAATTTCTCATGAATCACGGAAGTCCACTTAATGCAACACAAGAAGTCAACAAAACGCTTGAAATACCTAAAGATCATACTTGTATTCACATGACTATGAAACAAACTGCAATCAATCAATTGAAATATTATTTACAACAAAAAGATCTTATGAGATCTTTACCAGACATATCTTTAAATCAATTTCAATCTTTACAAAACTATGTTAATCAATGGGAAGATCAACATGATGACCTTATTTATTTTGACATTCAAGGTGAAGATACTGATTTTCCAGACAAATTGGTTTTTATTTACTCTGATAATGATATGATCTCTCAAATTCATGAAAAACCACCAATTTATCACTTAGACTCTACGTTTAAATTAATTATTCATGGATTTCCTTTTTATGTATTAGCTACCAAATTTGCTAATACTCATTCTATCCCTTTGTGTTATTTTATAATATATCCAGATAATAGTGAAAATATTTCTTTTTGCTTAAGTAAATATTTTGAAACAACTCACACAGAACCTGAATTTATCATGTCTGACTGTGCACTAAACATTTTCAACGGGATTAGGAATTCATTTCCGGAGTGCAATATCTTTTGGTGCGCGCTACATGTAATACGCGCACTTAAAAAGAATCTCTCAAAGGTAAATGATGAAGAGATTAGATCAGAAGTCGAAAAATTTATGAACATTTTATGTTATTATCGTGATTGCACAGAAGAAGATGCTGCAAAAATGTATAAAGAGCACATTATTGATAAAATTCAAGATCAATTGGAATTTAATCAATACTTTACACGTCAGTGGGACATTCATAAACAACAGTGGATAGCCGCTGCCAGACCAAATGAATTAACCGTTGTGAATAACGTTTCTGAATCTTTATTTAAAAAGATAAAATATCACGATTTTGGCTGCGTTAAAAATCAAAGAATTGATGTTTTTGTCAAAAATCTTTTAGAAGAAGTTGCACCCAATTACTTTTATCGTATTAAAAACGATTTACTTCAAACAGGTTTTATTCCTTCAATTAGAATTCGCGAGCCTTGATTGACAGATTATAAAACAAAATTGAAAAGAGAAGTTCAATCACGTTTATACCAAGTATTAAATTTTGTTCAGAATCAAGAAGCCAATTTGAATCCATTAAGATTTTTATTGGAAAATGCTGAAGAAAAACTTTCTCAAATAAATGAGAAGATACAAAATTCAATTACATATTTAAGATCGTTTGAAATTCCAAATGAATTGTTAGATACGTATATGTTAGAAATTAATGAATTTTGTTATAATTCTCCAGATTATATTTTAGAACATTTCGAAGAATTTTTGGAGGATTTCAAAGAAAAGAATAATTTAATAGACTAAAAAATTTATTATTTTTATTTATTGTGAATTTTAAATTGTCACTTTTTAAGTGTTACTCCCTATTGAAAGTGTCACTTTTTGGATGTCACTTTTTCGGAAATTCTTATATACTCTATTCCTTTATATTGCCTCATATTATTTCCCATTTTTAATCATATTATACAAATCTTTAATAATTTTTAATGTTTTGAGCTTCAAAATCTTGTTCTAACTATTTTCATTCATATATCCTAGAAAAAATTAAAAAGTTTTTTAGAAATAAAAATGTTTGTATGTAAAGTATTGAAAATATTCTAGATGAGAAGACATTCTCCAGAAGAGATTGATATTGATTGGCTTTGTGAAGCCATCACAAAATCAAATAATGGAGTTAAGTTAACTGATATTTGCGCGAAAGCTAAAATAAATCATGAAGGCAGAGTTATATATAATCATACTATCTTAAAGTATTCCTAGAAATTTCCAAAATTAACCGAAATATAACTGTACAGAATTACTATTTTCGAGATAAAATTCATATGGAAATACTAATTCATAACGCTTTATGTTATATAAAATTTAATTTATAAAAATTTCAAAATAAATCAAATTTAACACAATGAATATAACTGCAATCGAGGTTTTTGACGATTGATTCTTACGAGAAGTTTTCCAAACTTTGAGTTAATCTCTTGACATTAACTCAAAGTTTGGAAGTCTAATAAGGGGAATTGTAGGCTATGAGGTACTGATTATATATCAGTGCCTCATAGCCTGCAATTCCCATTAGAAATCGGAGAAACTTTGTCCGCATAACTGATGATGCGGACAAAGTTTCTCCCATTTCTACTTAGAATGAAAGGGCAAGAGGTATATAGGTACACTATATATCTCTTGCCCTTTCCTTCTTACCTAAAGACTTCCAATCTTATTTTTTTTTCCAATTTTTCCCCTAAATTTAAATCTTATATAATATAAATAAAATGCATCATATCAATCACAAAAATTAATGTTTATTTTTTTAATTAAAATTGCCGCGCAATTTAAGGTTTTCTGTCACTTTTTTGTTAGCCATTTCGGTACGAAACAATATAAATATAAAAATAAAATAAAAATTGTAATAAGAATGTTATAAAAAGTTTTTTAGATTTGACTTGCCGATAGGCTTGAGCAAATGTATTTTTATTGCTAAAGGTTTTTTTGTTAGATTTATGTAATATTTTTAAGCCTGAAGACGCCTTGGATTTATTAATAAATCAATTTTATATATTTTTGCTGTATTTGGAAGATAATCTGTATCATACTCCATATAATTTTAATTGTTTGCAAAATCTTATTATCAATACAAGAATTATAATAATTTTTTCTTGTCGAAATTCTATTCAATGCTTCATAAATGGCCGAATATCTTTGTGCTTTAAAAAATTGAATATAGTATCAATTTTATAAAATAAATAAAAATTTTGAAATCAACAATTATCACTTCATTACTGTCCAATCGGCAAAGAACAACATCCAGTACTCGAAGTTCGCAAGCATCAGGAACTCGAAACTCGCAAACACCAAGAAGTTCTCAAGCATCTGTACAAAACCCTGCTCCAACACAAACTTCTACAGCAACTGTTCCCCGTTCAAGATCAGAAAGGGAACCTGCTGCAACAGAGCAAATTCCTCCTCCAGCACAAGAAAACGTGACAGCGGTTAATCCCATTCAAATTGCGACTTCATCTGAAATTTCAGAAAATGAAATCGATCCAACAGATCCAATTTCATTTTTTACCCAAAGAGAAGCAGAATATATGGAATCATTTGTTGATGTTCCTGTAAATGATGTACCAGAGCCAAAGATCAAAGAACCACTAAAAATTAGGATCGAAGAAATTTTAAGGGAGCAACAAAATAATCGTCTCACAAAATTGACAAATTTGACATGCAAAGATTTTAGAGATTTATTACATCTTTCTTTTAATACTCTTGAACACAATCATTATAAACACACTAGAGTATCATTGGAATCGAGATTGCTAATAACATTAACTTGGTTGAAACATTCTGGTTCATTTAAAGAATTAGGAGCACAATTTGGAATCAAAAAAACACATACAAGAGCTATTGTAATGGATATCATAAATAAAATTGGTTTAAAAATTGGTGAGGACTTTGTCAAATGGAGACCCTATATTCGGTGGGACGAAAGTGAAAAATCTACCGAATATCCCGGTATGTTTGGAGCTTTGGACGCTACAGTACAAGAAATTGGAAGAGCAAAAGATCAAAATTTATATTACTCTGGAAAACATAAAATGTGTTGTGTCAAAGTTCAATGTTTTGTCAGTCCCAAAGGAAGATTACTTCACTTTTCGAAACCAATCCGTGGAAAAAGACATGATTTTAGATTATTTAAAAAACAAAAAATCTCATTTCTATCTTAAAAGCAGAAAAAGAAAGAATGAATGCAGAAATTGAGACAGAGCCATGCTTATTAGCAGATTCAGGATATCAAGGTATTAATGATATAATACCATGGGCAAAAATTCCTTTTAAACGTCAAAGGAATACAGAATTAACAGATGATCAGAAGGAATACAACCGAAAACTCTCCAGTAATCGAATCATTGTCGAGAATTATTTTTCTCGACTCAAACAATACTGGAGAGTGATTGGTGGTAAATGGCCATTGAAAATCAAGGGTGATCTAACATTTTATCATCACACCTTTGCAATGTGTGCAGGCCTTACAAATAAACTTTTCTGCCGACGTCCATTACGTAGAGGTGCTGAAAGATGGGATCTTTTAGATCTTGATGGCATGGATGAAAATAGCGAGGCATATAACTATCAGGAATCAGTTTCTGAAGATGACAGTGAAAATTCTTATTAATAAAAATTATTTTATTCATATATTAAAATATATAAAATTAAATTTGATTTAGAATTGCCACTCTTGGTGTGTCACTTTTATAACCATCGCATCATATATGTCACTTTTATAACCGTTGTATCATAAATATTAGCTTGTTACATAATTCCCTTTCCATAAATATGATAACATTCATTTAATTGTTGATTGTTGATTGTTGATTGTTAATTGTTGATTGATATTGATTAGTTACATTATTCACTTTCCATAAATATAATAACAGTCATTTAATTGTAAATTGTTGATTATTGATTGTTATGAGTTAGTTCCATATTTATATATAACAAAACAAAGTAATTTTTTAAAAAAAATCATATGCTCAGATACCTCTTATATATAATTAAAATATTGGCAAATACCTAACAGCATATATCCAAGAGGATTTTAGTTTTTTAATTTTTTTAAAATGTCACTTTTTACCTTATTAATTTCAATGAAAATATCACACACATCATTTTAATAATTATAAACAGTTAAATCATTCTCATCATTTTTAATAAGCTAAAATGCAGAAAAACTATATTTCATATTGCAAGCTTTAGATATCTTCGAAAAAAATGTAATAAGATAAATAAGTGTAATGATTTATAATATTTTAAAATGCTTATTATTGATCATTGTTATTGAATTTAATTGCGACCTGTTCCGTACCGAAAAGGGTCACTATAAAAAGTGACACTTACTCTTATTTTTCGCGCCAAAATTCGAAAGGGTTTTTAATATAATAATTATAATATATAAGGAATTTTATTAAATATATGAAATTAAAATATAAAAAATATTATAGTTAATTTAAGTTTGTTTTTTATTTTTATTTTAGAACTGTTTTCATAGGAATTGAAGGGTGAGAGATATATAGTATGCCTATATACCTCACACCATTCAATTCAAACTCTAAATGGGAGAAACTTTGTTTGTATGTTATCTTATGAAAGCAAAGTTTCACCCATTTAGAAAGTGAATAGGAGCCTACCAGGCACTGATACATAATCAGTGCTTTGTAGGCTCCTATTCCCTCGAGAAAGTTCGAAAACTTGGTCGCAATTGCATCTGATTGCGACCAAGTTTTCGAACTTTCTGGTAGGAATTGAAGGGTGAGAGGTATATGGTATGCCTATATGCCTCTTACCCTTCAATTCCTTCTCTGAAGCTTTTCTAGCGACCCTTTTTTTGGCGCCAAAAGTCACTTTTTCTAGCGACCCTTTTCGGTATGGTATAGAATTTAATTGCGACCTTTTCGCTTAATGAGGTCCAAAATCATGGTTCCGATTTGTTCTATGTTCGCGATTGATAAAGAAAATCGCGTTTAATTTTGATCACAATTTTCCATAAAAATCGCGATTTTTTTGAAAAATCGCGACCACAATAAAATCACAATTCATTAAAAAACGCGATTTTAAAAAAGTCGCGATTTTTCTAAAAAATCGCGATTTATATATTTAAATCGTGATTAAAAAAGTGGTTGCGGTTTTCCCTAATATTGTTTTGCGTGTCAAAGAGGGAAGCGTCACTTTTTGGTTTACGGGTCATTTTTTCTTTTTTTTAGTTTTTATGATTTACTTATAAATAATGAATATGAAGCTGCGAAGTGTTGACCTCGAGTCATTGCCTCGCAGTCTCATATTCTTTTATGAAATAGTTAAAATCGAAGTTTCTGTCTTCCTCTCAAAGGAAATATCATATAAGTAAGATTTATTGAAATAAAAAAAATTAAAATTGCCGATAAAAATTGAATGCATTTTAATGTAAGATGAATGAGACATACAATGATATAGAACTGAATACAAATACTCAATGTGAAACGTTTAAAGATAAAGACTTTCACATAAATTGCGGGCCAGATTTTTAAAATTTTTACAATAATGGTGAAATAATTTCAAAAATATATATTGCTGAAATGAAACGAAGAAAAGCAAATGACACAAAGATAATTAAAGAAAAAAGGAACGATCGAACCTCATGATGCTATGTGTTGAAATACGAAAATATTCTGTTATAGAAAAAATTAGTACATTTTACCTTAGAAATGAACAAATATTATATGTGAAGATCAATTTCAAGGGGAATAATTTCGAGTATTTGTATTATATAGACCACAACAACAAGGTACAAGAATATTTGATGGTAGTTTAGAATTTATTCATAATAATTTTTCTATAAACTTATATCCCAATTGTGAAATGAAAAATATAAATAATAATATTTTTTGACCTGTTCGTCATGATAAATTTAATTATATTTAAAACGAATGCGTAGACCATGAGAAAAATACTCTTTTTTTTCATCAAATTGTCTCAATTCAAGTAATATTTTTGCCTTTAAATCAATTGACCTCTTCAACCTGTTTCATTTATTCGTTTTTGATAGATCATATGAATTGTTATAAATATATTTATTATGTTTCTTTTCCAAAACAACATCCATCTTTCAATCTGATTTAAAATGGGAGAAACTTTCTCTAGATTAAATTTAATGCAGACAAAGTTTCTCTCATTTACAGAGAGAATTGAAGTATCAGATTAAGAATGAAATGACAAGAGGTACATAGGATCACTATGTACTCCTTTCTCTTTCATTCTTACTCTAAGACTTCCAAACTTTGGGTTAATGTCAAGACATTAACCCAAAGTTTGGAAGTCTCATAAGAAGGAATTTGGGGCTATAAGATCCCGACTGTATATCAGTACCTTATAGCCTCAAATTCCTTCTTTATAATCCAAAAACATAATATGATGCTGAAAATCTGAAATTATAACCAAAAAATGACATTTGTAGACTTTACATCGTGACGCCATGAGTCTGAATTTTTTCGGCATCATGACGCCGACCCCCAAAAAATACCAAAAATTAAGTGTTTAGTCGAAAATTAGTAGTAGTTGAAGAGGTCATTGATGTTATCATAGTATCGAATCTATTTCGATGCAAATCTTCACTGAGCATTTTGGTATTCCATGATATAAAGGACTTGCTTCAGGTCCAGACCAAAAGGGCTTCTTCTAAATATTTTTGTTCCCCGAACCAATTAACTGACATGAACTGAGACATTGCCTGTTTGAATTGATCTATGGTGATATATTGTGAGTGAAGTTTGGAAACGACTTTCTTTTCATACAAGAATGTCATTGTTCTTAATGGTCTCTCGAAGCACATCTTGTTTGAAGCAGTTGGAATTCTTCCAGTTGTCATTTCTGTCAACCTGGTTTTTGATCGATCTCTGTCTTCCCTGTCTTGTCTGTAGCTTCTTAGATATGCTCTCAGTTTTTTATTTTCCGTCCTGAGTTCTTAATATTATATACGAAAAAAAGGATTTGACACAGTCAAATCGTCTCTCTGAAAAAGTGGACTTTGGAGCTCTTGTGTAGTATATGAAAACTCCAAGATTGTAAAAGGAATCACTCTAAAAATATAGACATAATATCATCATATATAATTTAAGTTTATTTTTTAAAAAATCAGAAAAACGTCATTTAAGGTTATTGAAAAGTGACATGTGGCAAATTTGTCCTGCACTCACTGGTAGTCGCTTTTGAAAAATTGGCAAAGCATAATTGCAAACAATTAACTCCAAGTTTGTTGACTTAAAAAATCACGCAATTGGAGCCTTACAAATGATCAACTAATCGAAAATTCAAAGTTTTCTTCAAAAAGAATCATTATTGAAAAACATTTTTGCCCCATTAAAAATGAATTGGAAGATTCAACATGATCCATGGACATATTTATTCGGTGAGCATATATTATTTTATGACCGTGTTTTGGATTTCTGCGCTTCAATTACCAATTTTTTTTAATATATATATATATGGAATCTCTTCATAAGAAGACAAGACCGAGCATCAGATTATCAAGATCACCTGATGCATTTCTTGAACACAACAGATTCTATATATCTATATATCCATCATTTATATGCTTATAGAAAATGTTAATGCTAATATAGAAATCACAAACATTTATAATATATATATATATATTTTACAGAATCTATTTATTTATTTTTTTTATTTTTATAGAAAATATTTCTCTTTTTATAAAAGCTAATATTTTTTACGAACAAAATTCATTTCGCGATCACCACTATTAAAAGAGATATTAATTAAAAAGTAATGTTTATTCTGTAGTAAATTCGTAAAGTTTCGGGCACGACGATAGAAAAGGTACCCGTTACATGTCATTTTTTGAACATTATCAATTCCTACCATCAATACATGAGTGCGCAAAATTATTACACGTAAATTATTATAAATGTCGTAAAATCTTTATAAATTACTGTTATTCAATTAATCACGTTAATACAAAACTACGATATCAACATTTCAAGCACTCGAAAGTATGCCAAATAAATCTCGCATGATAGTGATGGATAACGGCAAGAAATGCGTTTAAGGATGTGTTAGATCAATTTGGAATCAAAAGTCGGCACACACAATCATACACACCAAAATTGGAAGATAGAGCCTGGAAAGCAATTTTCTTATCCAAAGCCGAAGGAGTCCCAATTGAGCAAAAATTTGAAAATCTTTTCAAAGATACAACAAAATGTGGTCAAATAGATAACTCAGCATGTTATACGATAAAAAATGTCAAAAGCAAGCCTTGGATAATGACCCTATTTGGACAAAAGATATTAATGACAATCAACAAATCATTTTTGCTTAAGATTGCTATGAGAGATAAACATATATAGTATATAAATATTGTAGAATTTTCAAGTAAAATTTTGCAATCATCAATTAATGATAATTCTTCTTCGCTAATATTAATTGGATAATATCGGTTCCAAATTTCACTATTTGCATTTTTATCATTTCGCATTGTTTTATTTGAATGTTAAGATCATGTCCTCTAACACTAACATCATGCATGACTCTGAAAGTTAAACCAGATTCAATATCATTTAATCTTTCAAGTACCAAATCTATTAAACTAAGAATTGTTTCTTGAAATGTGGATCTTTTATTGCAATATCCTGCAATAGTATTCATGATGTAACAGTAAGTTTTAAATGTCCCAACACCATCTCCTTCAAGAATCTTAAAAATGTGTGCAAACGGAAGTAAAAGTGCGAATATTATTGGAGCTGATCTTGTAATGATATCATCCATCTCATTCCATTCGTCAAGACATTCAACTTGGAAATCTTTGATCTAAATTGCTTCACCTCTTGCATTAAATTCGATCAAACGCCGTCTTCTACGGAAGTGTTGCAAAACGCCGCCACTTTTTGAGAGCGGCGTTTTGCAATTGCTATTTTTCTAGATATTGGCTTGTTTTCAATCAGAGTTGAAATGCAGCGCAGAAGGACTAGCTTATATACAACATGTTTATATATGAGTGATACGATTTTAAAATTTTTCATAAGTTATTCAATGTAATTGTTTTTCAAAAATTATAATTTTAACAGTATTATCATGTAATTAGATAGAATGGATATGGTATTTATACATATGATTATTAAAATTAATAGATTGTGTAGTTTGAAAAAGAATCTCATTTTAAAGTTTTTATATAATGGATATTGGGTGTGTTATGATATGCCATATGTATTTTCTATATGAGTACATATCTGTTATGAGTGTGTTTTGTTTCAATGAGCGAATTTGTAAAGAATCTCATTAAATCTCGTATCAAAAAATTGTGTGTATTTTAGATAATATATGTTGTGTGTTGTTATATACTATGTTTTGTTATATACTATGTTTTGTTATATACTATGTTTTGTTATATACTATGTTTTGTTATATAATATGGTGTGCTTGCGTTCCTATTACCTTTATATATGGAGAATGAAGCATCAAAAAACTCAAAAAACTGACAGCACATGAGAAAGTTTTGAACGAGCCAAGTTTATGAATATAAGTTGATGATATATGATATAATAATAGATAGATAGATATGTCACTTATGAGTTATTCATACATATATAAGTTATGGAAATACTAGATAGATGTGAAGATATTACGATATAAACTAATACAGTCTCAGAAATTCTTAGATCTCAATATCAGAGTGTGTTTGATATGCAGGTGTATTACATAATAATAGCTTATAAGATTATAAATGTATAGTATATATATGAAAGGTTTATATTAGAGTTGAAGAGAAGAATTAAAATGATTTTCAAAAATATACTCAAATAAAGCATATTTGATTTGTTAGAGATGTTAACTGGATAGAAATACAATAACTTTATTAATAAATGTAAAAATATAAGTTATGATAATAATGCAACAAAATGAGACGTAAAATATTGGTATATTAATGTAAATGAAAGGGTATGAACTGAAATACTTATATATGATATAAGAAGAATAGTAGCTTATGGATTTAATGAGATTTTTTTAATGAAATTAAATAATAAAAAACAAATTAAGTAAATAAGAAGCTATAAGAGAGAAATGTAAGTTTATTGAGGTTGTTTAAAACGTTTTAGAAGGATTGTTGGAATTAGGAGAAAATGTGATGAGATGAGATAATTAATAAATAAATAGAAAAAAATAAGGGTTATGATAGAGTTAATGAAACCGGAAAAAACTAGAAGGGGGCCCTGACCTCGAGAAAGGACCCCCTTCCCGGTCTTTCTGGCGAACTTTGGTTCGTATTGCGAGTGTCTGCTGCTTCTTTTGACTGAAGCAGCCGGCACTCGCAATTGTATGTCACGGCAAGTGCACCTGTGGTGCCAGAATGCACTTGCCGTGACTTTCCATGAATCTCCTGATCTTCCTGAAAGGAATGACAGTATTGACAAAAACCACTTCATTCAATACCAGAAAGCCAAGAAGGAAGTTCTTACCTTGAGAAAGAGCTTACTTCTTGGCTTTCTGGTTTGCATGTGATTTGAGTTAGTTGAGAAGGGGTATTTTCCAAGCTCTGGCCTTTGCTTGGGCCAGAGCCTGTATATTTCTTTCTTGCAGGGCCGAGTTACTGCGAGACCGTCGACATGATCGACGATCATCGCAGAACTCGGCCCTGAGGACTGTTCTTGCAGGCTCTGGCCTTTACTTGGGCCAGAGCTTCGTATTTGACGCTTCCCAGGGCCGGATTCCGCTCCTGCCGCCCGGGATAAGGGCGGCATTTGGGGAAGCCGGCCCTGGGGAATGTAAGCGAAGCTATGGCCTTTGCTTGGGCCAGAGCCTGTATATTTCTTTCTTGCAGGGCCGAGATGAGAGGAGATCGTCAACGACGTGGACGATCTCCCTCAAAATCGGCCCTGCGGATTGTACTTGGAAGCTCTGGCCTCGGAAAAGGCCAGAGCTTCGTATGGACACTCTCTCGGGACTGGATTCCTCTCCGGCCGCCCCGAATCATGGCGGTCTTTGAGGAAACCGGCCCCGAAGGATTGTTTGCGAAGCTCTGGCATTTCCTGAGGCCAGAGCTTATGGATTTCATTTAGAGCCAAGTTCCTCTCGGATCGTGCCTAATGAGGACGACCGTGGAGGAACTTGGCTCTGATGAGATGAGTTGTGAGCTCTGGCCTCGGTGAAGGCCAGAGTTTTTAAGAGAATGTTTTGATGGGATGAGCTTATGCTCAGTAAGCTCGTCTCATCAAAACATTCGTTTAAAAATTGAATTAAAAATTATCGTTTGCATTGAAAAATTAAAAAATAAAGTTGAATAAAATTATAGGATATCAAGAATATAGTAAAATTGAAATCAAATTGAATAAAATTTCCAAAAAAATTCAAAATTATGAAAATGAAATGAAAAAATATAATTTTACAAAGAAAAAGATAGATTATATAAAATCTTTATATACAATTAAGGAGATATAATAAGAGTAAAGCAGGTATTGTAATTATTTTGAGATTTTTAGAAAAAAATGAGAATAAAATTTAACAGCTAATAGTTTTGTAATGAAAAGAGCTTACAGGTGTAATAAATATACGATATGACTACACCTGTAAGCTCTTTTCGTAAACTTGCACTTAGAGATCAGCATCGAAACAAAAAGTGCGAGCTTTTTACGAAAAGAACTTAGATAATCCCACACTATAGAAGTAACTTCAATATACTTATAATTTAAACATTATTGAGTATATTTTTGAAAATCATTTTAATTCTTCTCTTCAACTCTAATATAAACCTTTCATATATATACTATACATTTATAATCTTATAAGCTATTATTATGTAATACACCTGCATATCAAACACACTCTGATATTGAGATCTAAGAATTTCTGAGA